CTCTTTTACAAAAGTGAATAAAGTACAGTTATGATCTAACCAAAATCAAATGTTGAAGGGAAAACTTAGTGTCCGGAGTTGGGGGGGAGAGGGGGGCAGTTGTAGAAAATGAGAATAATGCACAGGCCTTTAGTTTTGGGGTGGGGGAGGGAATAAGAGCAAGCACTAGACCTTTTTCTGTTACTGTGTGATTTGTGGAGTATTGACATTAAGGCAAAGTAAATGTACAGATATTATGGGATGCAGCTTTTATATGAATCTGTAGTTGATCTCTGTATATTGAGATGCACCAAATTCTGCCTTTATTAAATTCAGTAACTTGCGTTTTTACTGAAGTGTAGATTCCAGAATGGCACCAACTTTAATTTGAAGATAGTAGCAAATTCAGATCCCACCCCAAATAATTTCTTCAAGCATTAATTGTATTTACGATCCTTCATGCTTGCGTTCCTGTTCTAATTTGAGTTTGTCAGCCTTCGGTTGCTAGTTGTGAGGGTTGTATATGCTTTCTTTTAATTGGAGGATCTTTTTTATGTGTTCTTTCTGTGCTATGAGAGAACTTGGTTTCTTCCAGTGTCCATATTTATGAACTTGATTAACTTCGAACTCTTTCCATTATCTAATCGTAAGGCACTTTCTGCTGTCTTTGTGCTATCTTTCTGGCTGTTTTCTGATACTTCTGGAATATTTTTGAACAATATTGAATAAGTGAAGAATGGGGCTCAGGTTTTGAACATGTCTGAAGTACTTTGTGCAGATGAACAGGTGCCTTTCCAGGAACCCTATATGAGTTGTATCTGTCATTCTAGCTGTAGTACTAGGAGCATGTGTGTGTGTGCTCATCAGCTGTGACTGCCTTAGTCACTTTAGGTTGGCATTTTCCAGGATAGAACCCAATTCTTTTGGTCTTCTGACTATGTGATTTTGTATTTGTTGTTCTTAGTTGAATGGTTTGGTTTACCAGGCAGTGGAAAAAAATTCTTGCAGATGTTTTTTTGCAACTTCATTAGGATTTATGTAATCAGGTTTTATTTGTGGCTGTTTTTTTTTTTTACTTTTGGATCGTTGGTAATTTGACCTCCTATTAGTTGCATGAAGAAAACTTCTGGAATCTTATGTCTTTTCATGTTTTCTGTGTTGGAAGCAGCACGTGGGCAACAAAAGCAATTGATGTTTCCAACCTTATCAGGAAATAGTCTCAAGCATGCCTATTACATCTTTTTTTTTTTTTTTTTTTCCTTCCTGCGAGCAACAGTTAAAGTTGAACTTAGGGATTTGGTGAATATTCTACAATTTCCTCCAGGCCACTTGAGGAATCAATCTCGAGTTATAAAAGGCCAGTTTGTCTATTAGTTGGCAGTTCCTTTTTTTGAAGCAGTGAGCTAGCATGCATAGTTCTGAGGGCACCTTTTACTGTATAGACTGTCAGTTTCATCATGGTACTGAAAGTTATGCAGGAAGTGTATCAGATTTGAGAAGAGCATTCATTCTTGGGGGATTCAGAGGGATTCTTCAGAAAACGTACAAAAGCTGTCTTTAGTTGTGTCTTGAGAGATGGTTGTTTTTAATTAAGCAACTCAAATTCTGGCACTGGACTGTAAGGAAGCTCATGGCACTTCTTCTGTACAGGTGATTCGCCCCCATTTTCATTAGATCATCTGTCAAAGAGAATCTAAAAAAAGTGGATCAAAGATTTGGGTGGAAACTTAAATTCTTTTGCAAAGGAAACTTAAATTCTTAAAAATACTGTCTCCCAGGGCATGCAACATTCAGTAAGGTCACTAAGAAGTCATAGTTTAAATAAGAAAAGTGTTCCTTCACTCAAGGATCTTCCTAGACCTCATTTACTGTGTGTCATGTGCCACATAGCTGTGCTGTCACAGAAACTGAACACCTGTGCATCAAATAACATAGTGAAAGTAATAAGTATAGGAAATCCATGCAAGTGACAACGTTCAATTAAATGATTTGTAGGTGGAAGTTTTTTGGCTTTATTATTAATTGCTGACAAATAGGTTTTTACATTCTCCATGGCATGGCTTTAGGTTCTGTGTTTGAAACCGGTGGCCCCTCTTCTTGGCTCGTGTTTGTGACTCCAGACTTTGAAGATTAAATGAAACGTGCAAAGAGATCTCGTCAGGCTGTGCAACAATGTTGTTTTCTAGCCCCTTTTTATGCACCTGAACTTGGTTTCTGCCTTCTTTTTCTTTCCCTGATCTATTCTTTATTTCCTCCCTCTTTTTCAGTTGATAGGAACATTCTTTCCAGAAAATCTGTGCTTTTGTCACCTTGGAGACATGGGTGTAGTCTCAAACCACTGCATAAATGTTATTTGTCCTGTTCCCTCTCAATGAGTGCTACTCCATGCCATACAGCGTTCTTCAGATACATGGTTTGAAGGCATGGATCTTGTGTATTGTCTTGCTAATTATAACAGGCATTGCTGTAGTCCTGGTTGAATATACCTCTTGAAAATAGTCCATAGGCAGATGTAGAAGTGTCTGTACTGGAGCTTGTCCAGTCCCAAAGAGCCTCTAGCAGCCATTTCGGGTTTCTCAGACACAATTCCACAGGTACAAACTGTGTTTGATACCTGCAGCTGCTCTGTGTGTCTGTGAAAGCCTAAACTGTAAGCCATGCTAATCAAGACAGTGAAGACCAGAGAAATCTGTCTGAGTAACTCTGTTCTAAGAATAAATATTTGTTGTGGGGCTCCTGTTGCAGGATCCTACCTTCTAGAAGGCAAGTTATATCCAGAGATATTTTGTAAAGGAATTCCTGTGACAGAAAAGCAGCTGGTTTAGGTCAGGTTCCTATTCTTCATAATCCACTTTTTCAAGACGTTAGTCGGTTCATCAGTCTTATTTCCCTTTACTGATCAAGTAGTGTCCTTTGCCTCTCTTACCAATTTTTTTTCTGCCTTCTTTGCATCCGGCAGTCAAAATGCCCTTTGTTCAAACTAGATGTAGAATAAGGAATCTTTGATGGCAGTCTCCTTCACCACCCACCCTGTGTTTCAACATGCTGGACTCTTTGCCAGCAGACAGTACTCTGCTGATGCATCAATGAGTAAGGTTTTAGAAAAATGAATTCTTTCATCTGTGCTAGGGAATCCTTGCCAGTCATACTCAATCCCACAGGAGTGGCAGTAAGGATAGGTATGAAAAGTAGAATGAGAAGGAGATGGAAGGCAAAATAATTCATTAAGATTTCTTGCATCTGGATTGTTGAAAAGTAGCAGGAGATTTTTAGACCCCAGTACAGTAAATCTAGTTCTAAATTATCTTGTAACAGATTAGAAATGCTGCAACTACCTGATTCAAAGCTCTGATCCACGATAAATTCAACTTATACCTTCAAATTTCAGGACAAAACTTAGATGAACTTTAGCTCAGTGAAATTCATCCCAGTTAGGATACTGCCTCTCTTCAGAGCTGCTGTAGATACTATGTTCAGTTGTGTGTTAAATCTCACTAACAGAGTTGGATCTGTGTCAAGCATGGGCACAAACTTTGTCTTGGCCGTGATTGTAGAGCTGCCACCTCAGTGCATATTCTTTAACATTCCAAAATCTGATGTTTTGGAATCCAGCACCAACACTTCATGTGTTCCTGCGCTACTGACAATCGTGTTCATGACTTCTCTCCTCCCATATGAAACAGCCTCAGGAGAACCCTGTTTTACTAAGGTTGCTGTCAGCCTGTTGTTCTAACATGCTTCTATCTGATTGGAAGACTTCTGTGATTAGCTTTTGTCTGTGGTCTGGGTGATACAGGACACAAGTCTGAGTAGGGAGTGATTGTTTCGGTGCACTCCAGAACATGAGCTGATACCTCCAGCGGTCAGACAGAACGTGGGTTTCCAGACCAGTGAGGCACTGGAGGTTACACCACTGTCCTCCTTTGACCAGCATACTAAAAGTTACTTGGACAAAGAGCTAGAAGAAGGTTTTATTTCGAAGTGCATTTTTACAGAGCCATTTCACATCATTTCAGAAAGCAGCAAGAACTTTAGAAGAAAGCACTGCCTTGGAATAGGTATGTGTTTCTTTAAAGCTGAGGCTTGCCTGAAGATGGGCATTGTCAGGTCTTAAACAATCAGAATGCCATAAGCACTGTTTTAAGGCTTTTCTTAGTTTTGCATCAGCGTCTTGGGTTTCGCTGTTTGCTTTTCCGTACAACTAATGGTCAGCAAACATTAATTTGAAAGTCTTTACCCTGTTTGTCATTTAATGTTGACAGATGAGGAACCCTTCCAACTGACTTTTATTCATTGCACTGTGTTCCTGGCATTGACTCAGTTAAACTTTGACAATTTACACTTGTAAAACATGGGTACTAGAGAACCTGTTTTGTTTCAGAGGTTTTCAGTAGCCTGCTTCTTTTTTGCTTATGTCAACTGCATTTGTGTTTAGATGAGAAGACTCAGGTATTACTGATGTTAAAATAATTAAATGTCACTTTTTGTATCTCAAGGAACACACCCGATAAAACTAATAAGCATTATTTTGAAAGTAATACAGATTTTGTTCTGTTGCGGAGTTTGTAGCAGAATGGTAAATTGTAGTAGAATGGCAAAAGTGAGCATCTTTTTTGACAAACTTTAGAAAGTCATTGGTCTTGCTTACTGATCAGTGATTGCTCATCAAACCTAAGACCTCACTGAAGGACTTGTGTAATAGGTTGGAGTGAAACACAAGAACTTTCTTTACTGAGACATTTAAAGCTGTCTGTGCTGTTTTAGTATTTGCACCAGATCATGGTGACTGCGGATGTGCCCTCAATAGCTCTCTAGCCTTTGTGCACCTTGCTTCTGTATGAGGCTTCTGCTGCATGGCAGCCTACAAATGTGGGCTTTCATCTGGGTTAGAGCCACAGGAATAAACTGCTCAGATACTGTACAGAGGTCTGTCTTCATAGCTACTGGCTGTTTAGAGAAAGTAAGATAACTTCTTATTTACTACATACAGTAATAACATTTCAATTTTAATCACAACTTTATATTAACAAAAAGTGTATAATACTATTTGTGATCTGAATCTCCATCAGAGGCCTTTTTTCTTTACAGTCTTTGTGCAGTGCACCTGGGAGCTTGGGTGGGAGAGTGAGTGGGGTGAATTGAGTGTTAAGGTTTATGTTTGGAAATATTTTATCAGTTGACTTTAGTTCAGAGTAGATAATAGCAATAGGTAAGAGACTAACTGGTTCCTTTTCAGCCATGGAAGTAATCAGCTGGGGTGGTCCCAGGGCGCTCTGGGCTCGAGTATTGCTGAGTGATCATTGGCTGCCACCTGCGTGACAAAGTAAAGGACCAACCCTTCAATTTGTACCGGTGGAGCCAGATCACGGGAAACAATTGACAGGTAAAATACACTTTTGAAAATTTAAGGGAGAGGAGAGAGTACATGTGGTGTAAACGGAGCAAATAACCTAAAAGATAGGCCACAGATAGCAAAGGTTGCTCCTCTGAAACTTACGTAGCTTCAGCTTGCTTTGTTTTGGGGAGAGGCACACAGCAAAGTGCAAGTTACATGTTGCTCCTCTAGAAATACAGAGCCTTGTTAGGAACCGCTATTGAGTTGCAGCAGGGAAACAAGTAATGGAATTTTATTTTAGTTAGAAATTATAATTCGTATTTACACACATGCTTCCAAATCTTTGAATGCTTGTTGTCTTGATGTTGGGTGCTTTCCACTGGTTTTGTTGTTTTTTAGAGAGGTTAAAAATAAGTTGAATATTGAAGCTCACCAGTGGAGTGTACTATAGTGAGTTACTCTAGAAGTCTTAGAATGCCATTCAAAAATGAACTAATTTTTGTGCAGTAGGTCTTTCTTCTGTTTTAAGTTTTTTTAGTGGCCTGGCTGTAATTCGTCAGGACTTTTAACTAAAGTATTTTTACTTATTTAGAGTTGTTAAGCTTATGCTTAGCCCAGCGTGATACAGGACTGGTGTGACAACTCATTTTTAATCAGTGACTCAAAATTGTGATCACCCTGATGTCACCGAATGGCCACAGCTTGTAAAAGGTAAGTATAAAGTGTATCGTGTTGCTTCTCAGGATCAATTTTAGAATAATGTTTATTTTAAAAGCATTTCATTTGTATGGCTTGAAGTTCATTTTGTAAATAGTATTAAGGTATGTTGCTTGTTTAAGATAATTCAGCTGGCAAAGTTGACTTACCTTTTTGCTTAAAGTGATTTCAAAGCTCACTGAGCTTGTCCTTGCTTGCTGTTTCAAATATGAGCACTGTGGTACTCCGTGGCATCGCTCTTAAGAGTAATACTGTCACTTAAAAGTCTCTTGTGGTTTTTACTGTCATACTGAAATTGTGTATAAATTGTTTAGTATATGTATTTAAGCAATTTGTTCATTTTTTTTGAAGTATTTGTCCAAGAGGCTTGATGATGTTAAAATCTGAAGGCTTGCATACCTTCACTTTTCTATCCTAGAGAGATATAGTGGAGGTAAAAGAAGTGGCTTGCAGAATGGAGAAGTTGCTCCTTGTGGTTTTGGAAGCGAGCCACCATTTGAATTTGCTAGCTCATACTGCAGCATTCAGATTAGTTGGTGTCTTGTGATCAGTATCTACGATCTAATTCAAAGCTGAAATTTGTAAGAGCATTTGCTCTGAGACTTGCTCTGAACAGAACTCTTGTTTCAGATTTTAAGCATGATGAAGGGACGTCTTGCCGTACTATATAGTTGTTTTTCAGTACTGTTGCCTGCTCAGAAGAGTAACAAGGTATCTTGTTTGTAAACAATTGTGTATTGCAGAATAAACAGCTTCTCAACAAACAAGTACAATTTCTGTAATTGGGTTGATTTTCCATGTTGTTTTAATGAGTACTGAAAGCTCATTTGGTGCTTACATTGTCATTTGAAACCTTTTAAAATCCAGTTAAGTGCATTAATAGTTTTGTAAATCATGGTTATGGTAGGTCTGCTCATGTTGTAGGAAACAGTAAGCTGAAGGAATCTGAGATCTGTTTTCTGTAGAGCCACTTACTTAGAGGACCAAAGCTTTTTGACTCAGCTAGGTTTTATTTTTTCTGAACTTTCCTGAAACTTGGTCTTCTCTTACATTACTTGTTTGTCTTACAGAAGAAACATTTTTTGCAGAGTAGCATGTACTAAACTGCACTGTCTGTTCAAAGCCCAGATAAAACTCACACAAATTGTAAGGATAGAAGATTTTGGTTTTACTGATAGCTGTGTTTACATGTCTGTACTGCAAATCACCAGGCTGCCTGTTCACATTCTAAGTTTAAGTGCAGTCTGCTCTTTTTCTGCATTTTTTCCATATTGCTGTGTATTTTAAAGGCTCTAAGTGATTAATACTCTTGGTTTTTTTGTTTTGGCACCACTATTTCACTTGAGTATTCGTATCAACTTAAAGCACTACTCTTACCCAAAGCTTCATTCTATTTCCTATGACTAAAAGATAGCAACTGCCTCAAACTTCCGAGCTCTGTGCTATCAGTTTCTGAAGTCCTGGATGTGATAGAGGAGCTAGCCAGTATGAGTATAATAAACGCTATTCTTTCCACTGCTCCTCAGGTTGTATGGCTTCTAGCACCTACGTGAATAATTAGAAAAAAAAGTAATTGAGGTTCTTCTCTCTGCTACGTATTTCTTTTGGTCACTGGAGTTGAAGGGAAGTGAAATTTTGGCTTGTTTTGTTGTTGAGCGCTATTGTTGTCAGCAACTACCTCATCAGTCCTGAACTTTAATGAGTAAAGGGAACATCATTTGGAGGGAATAAATAGAGACCAAATTTTGGGATTGGGCAGTTTTTGTGTTATTTTCCAGTTAGAGTCTATTTGTATGAGCATGAATAAAAGGTTAGTTGGATAGTAAGTTCAGAATTCTGTCCCTAGTGTCAGTTTAATTTTGTAACAGTGAAATATAAACAAATAACTTCCTGTGTTCTGCATCATCTGTCACTGCATAGTATCCAGCGAGCCTAGGAATTTTAAGTTGTCTGCCAGAAGTGCTTTCTAGGCACTGCGACTGTTAATATAGTACAGTTTGGTAAAATCCAGAAAGTTGCTAAATCTGGTATGTCAGTAAAATAACTAAGATTTTAGTGGAGAATTAGGAGAATAGTCCAGGCTTCAATAGGAGGGACCATCCAGTAAGGTAGCACAATGAAACATAGGAAAAAAGGAGATGTTTCAGGCTACAGATGGAGATTTCCAACAGCATTTAGAATAGTGTAAGTAGTCTTATAATAAATCTAGAGAAACTTAAAAATTCCATTCCTATAAACAAAGATTTTCCTGGTAAAGCTATGGCAAAGCCTGCTTAGCTGTGCTAAGTCCCCTAGCCAACTCTGTTGAAGCCCACAAAGCGAGTTCTATTTGCAGATTTTAGCTCACTTCTGTTTTGAGAAAGCTCTCTCATGAAAGACACTTTTGTTCATATAAGCTACAGAGTTTTACTGTAATGGCTGTGCTGTGTTTCCACTCCTCATACAATATATCCAGCAGGGCAGTTCTGGTCCACTGTACCAAAATCTATACTCAAGTGAAGGTTGTATAATGTTCTTCAGGTTATCATTTCAAGGCAGTTTAAGGTGATAGAAGTCAAAACTGCTGTGTTTGTAGTGCCTTGTCTCCTGGGTTATCTGGCTACAAAGTCACTGGGTAGAGGGAAGTCCCAAAAGGAAGAAAAAAATAAGCTGTCTAAAAAAAAAAAAAAAAAAATTAAATGTTAACTTCTTGAGTTAGTGCTGGCATAAGGGACAATATGGGAATAAGGAGGAACTGAACAGCTGTAATTTAGCCTACTTAATATGGAACTATACCCCTTAAATTACTCTGTAAATGAAGTCAAAGAGTTTGGCAAGCTGAACACAGATGTTGATTGTGTGTTCGAAAATGCCAGGCCATAATGCCTAATTCTGAATGTCTGACCTGTTGGCTGGAAGGAGGAAACAGGATGCTCCCTGTAACGCTTCTGCTTTGTGAGGTTATGTCCACAAACTCAAGTAGAGAGAGACATGAAGTTTGAAATTCTGTTGAGACCTGCTTCTGAGCTGCTGCTTCTTAGAGTCCAGCTGTGCAGAGAATCTGTTTGTAGCAGTTGATCACAAATAAATTTTGAGTATGTCTTTTGGTTACACAAGTGGTTATGAGGTGCCCTGTGCAACCTGGATATGGAAGTACTGCCAGCAGAGCTCTCCTCTAATGGCTGCAGTTGCGTAAGCTGTGGGAAAAAAATGTGCTGTCCTCCTTGGAGAAATTTGGCTTAACTATATTGTCAGGTTTTATGTTATAACCCGTATTCTAGAGTTTGGTAAAACAAATTAAATGTGCAAGTGCATAATAGTTGATGGTTTTAGTGGCAATAATACATTATCATCACTTCCACCTTTCCAAACTCTTGATATTGTAATGGCTTAAAATAACAAACAATGCTTAAGGTTTTGTATCTGTATTTGCAGATCACCAGGAGAACCTCACTCTGAAAACATTGAAACTAGCCGAATGTAAGTAAATGAGTGGATGAGTTTGGTGCATCATGTTTACAAGTATTTTGAATGTATGTAACAGTTACTCTTGCACCTGCTTAAAAAAAAAGACGACAAAATCTGAGTAGAACTGTGAAATCGCCTTCTAAAATTTCAAGTTAATATTTTGCTATGGAAGAATAATTTTAAGCATCTGTAGAAACTGTGATGATTCTTTTTTGGGTTTTTTTGACGGGTGAATGGGTTTAAGGGAAAATTCAGAGGTTTAATTTAATGTGAACCAGTAGATGGTAGCATAGTACAGTGTCAGAAATCTTCAGGCCTATCTTCAGACTTGACAGCAGGGGTGTAATTTCTAACTGCTGTTCACTAACATCTTGCATGGGCTTGAAGACACTTCAGTACTAAGGCACAATACCTGCTAATATCTGTTGTGACAAATGGATTGCTGAACTAAGAAAAAAAAGTCTGACTTAATTGAGCAAATTCATCTACTAGTTACTTCTGGAAACAGAAAACTATCTTTCTTTCACAAAACAGTATTCACATAGCATCCTGCTCACAGTTCTGCACCTTGTTTTGATCTGCCTTCATTAGCCAGAAGCCAAGCTTTGCTAGAAGCAGGATTGTGGTAGGCTGACATGTTCATTTCGGCTTCAAATTCAAAACCCTTTTAAAAAAAGAAAAAAGTTGAGACTTCATCTTCTGTGAGTTAGCAAACAAAGATTCTTTGCTAGCTATTCAAACTGTTTTGTATACGACTCAAATAGGGAAACCACAAATGCTGCTTTTCTGGCTCACAGCACACGTTCCAAAATAATAGAGGGAGTTGTGGCCCAGTGGTTTGGGTACTGTCTGAGGCTTCAGAAGATCTGGGTTAATTTATTTGCTGCCACAGACTTCTTCCCTGACCTTAAACTGTCTCCTCCACACCCTCCCCCCAAGTGGTCTAGCATTTCACGCACTGTGGGCTGAATGCCAGTGTCAGGATGTTTTGCATGCTAGGGAATAGTGTGAATTGCCCAAGGACTTCTCTGCTGTAGCTGCCCAACCTGGGGAAGAACAAAGCTGGGGTGAGCCCCTTCACGTTGGACTGCATACCTAACCTCAAAAGTGATGAGAAGGAAACAAGGAACGCTTTTCTCATGTGTTTTTGGCAATTCACTGCAGTCAAGTCTTCTTTTCCACTAGGAGCATTTCTCCTGGGGTGACAAATTTGCCTTTCCCTTCTCATGCCATCTGTTACAGAAGTGCTGTCCAGCTGCTTTCTTGGGAGTACAGGTTGCAGGGATCCAGATCTGAGAGATGACTGTCTGTCCCTATGTGGACATGTGTTTGAGACAGAGGTTGCAGGGCAAAAACCGTGCTATAGTCTCGTTGCTACAGTGGCAGCCCCTGCTGCATTGTGTTTTATTGTTCCTGCAGAAGTTGAGTTGTGTTCTTTTGTTTCCTTGGCCTAGCAAAACAAGAGGCATCAGGCTGTAGACAACTGTGGATATTGTCAGTTGGACTACTGCTTTTTACACATTGTACGGAAAGATGTGTCAGAGGCAAGGATCTTGGCTAGTGTGAAGCAAAGACTCTGTAAGGACCTGTGGTAAATCAGGAGGAAAAAGCAGTACAACTATTTTTCCTTCCAGCAGTTTGAAAGGTTTTTTTTGTGTGTGCGTTTTATCTTCCTGAAAACTCAACCCGAAAAAAAATAATCTGCAGTAGCAAGCTTTTCTGTGTGAAAGCTGAATATATATTTGTTTTTTTTTTTTTGTGCTGAACGATGTCAGAGTTGCCTTAACTATGTAGATTTCAGGTATCTGTCTAAAATAGATGCAAGTCAGTCAAGCTCTAGGGATTCACGTATTTGAGTAGTAATTATACAGTATTAATGCATGGTATACTTGCAAAACTAAATTTTTTAAAACTGTGTCACAGTGTGTTGTGTACATCACCTATTACAGAGAATTTCTGTAATCCTGCTGCATCGTTGCTCTTGCCATGTAAGATGGAATGGTAGGCTGAGTAATACAGTATGACCTGCAAGCCTACTGTGTAGCTAAAATAGTTACTATGTTATTTACATGCCTATAATTCATTAGTAAATGCAGGGACTTACACAAGTGTTTTGCTATTTGCACAATGAAAGGTTAAGTTGTTTTTGCTCTGGTTGGCAGATGTAATTGCTTTATTTGTTTCTGTGTTTTGCATTGCAAGGCTCTATACCAGGAGCATAGTCACATATTTTTCATATGTGTGAATTAAAATAAATTTTTAAAAAAATGTGCTGACTCTTTCAGACTCTTAGCAGCAAATGCTTCCATGGATAAGTTTTGCTTACCCAAGCTTTTCAAATTCTGGCTCTATGTGCAATGAACATCTTGATGCTAGCTCAGAGTTTGGAGTCTATTTCCCTTAGCATTCATTTAAGTCTTTGAATTTTTAAGATCAGCATCTTCTCCCGTCTGCTCCTGTCATAGGTCTGCATTAATTTTCAGCTTCGATGAGTATAACTTTCTTAAAACCTCTTTAGCACTAAATTACATAATTTTTAATTGTTTACTTTAACACTAAATTGACTTCTTATCAGTTCATGTATTTTCACTCTGTGTATTGTATGTTGTCACATATCAAGGCACAGGTTTGGATATTCTGATGCGGTGGCTTTCTGTGCATTCATTCATCTTTGCTTCTTTCTGTTTTTGAGAATGGGATGCTTTGCAATTTTGAAACTTCTCTCTTTCTAAAGTCGTTGAACACACACCACACACACACACACACCCCCTCCCTGATTTAACATGGTGTTACAGTTGCATTTGATGTATAGTTATCTTACATTGGAGTAGATTTGATAACTGATTTGTTTCCCTTGAAAAAATGGCAGAATGAAAATTCTGCAGTAGCCTCAAAACATGACTGAAAAACAAATTACAACCATTGCAAATATATACAGTAGCTGTATAAGTATGTTTCATGATGCATATTTTCAGGTTGCATCCTAGTGCTCTCTCTTCATGGAATGCCTTAAATTACTTTCCTCATAGTTGAAAACACAGGTGGATTTGCATAACATAACCACAGGACATGCTGATCATGGCCTCTATATCAAACCTTGCCACATACTGGTATTTTTTCTGGCATTTGCTGCTTGTTTTATTGCCATTCTTGGAAGGAAAAGATGTAAGAAGTATGTTTACATATACCTGCAGCCTTATACTGTGTTGTACTGTGATCTGGCTAGGGTGAATTAAAAAATGTCTTCAGAGTCTCTTGCAATGCATCGTTTAGCCAGGCAGTGATTTACCTGAGGAAACTTCATCAGTTAGTAAGACTGCATTGCCTCTATTCAAGAATTACTACTTTCTTAAATTTAGCAACTAAAGTTACAATGAAGTGTCTGTTTTACCTTTGCTTTGAAGAGCAAAAGGGCAGTAAGATAAACTGATTGAATTTTGTAATGATTTGAAAGAACGGGAATTCTAGATTTTGCACTAGAAAATATAACTGAAGCAAATGCATTATGGACCTTGGTTCCCATGGAGCTTGGAGGATGCTCTGAATTTACCAGTTAAAATAAACAGAAAGGAAGCTTAAAGAGGAGATCTTTCTCTATGGAGCTTCCTAATCCACAAATGCTACGCTGTTCTTAAACTGGAAACTCAGATGTTTAAGTCTTATGATCCATGTTATTTGCACTTAGTTTCTACATGATCATGTTCATCCCTCTAGGACAGTGTCATGCAGAATGAACTTGTAGTAAAAGAACGCTGTCATGGAAACCTAATTTAAAAATAGTGTTCTGGAGATTTTAATAACCTGGAAACAGAGTTGTGTGAGTGTCCCTTTCATGCACTTGGCCTCTTTTCTTCAAGTTGTAGAAGGAGTGTACAGGGTTGATCAGCATTTAGGTCTCTTCAGGTCAGTCTTACATATTGCAATGGTCAGTCGTCGTCTTATATCAGTATTTTTATCTGAAATAGTTTGTCTCTTATATCACACTTTCTACTGAAACACTCCGGTTGTCCGCAAGTAGACTATTGGGATCAGTGTCTCCAAGTTAGTGTCTATATCTTTTGATCTCTCACTGCAGTGCTAATGTTAATCTCCTTTTTTTGGTTGGGGTGCTGATCAGAATACGGTGTATAAATTTCACACTTGACAAATTTAAGCTTGTTCAGTAGAGTACAACATGAAGTTTAATTGTACTTGCTGGAGTGCCAGGACTTCTTTAACCAAGGGGAAACAACGTGGAAGGTACTAAAGAATACATATTTTGCTTAGTATTTGATTAAAATATTCATTATTTGTTTTGTCCTGAATATAAAAGACAGGCTGAAAGATTCCTGCAAGTATGTGAAGTTACTGTCGTTTTTGTTTCTTACCAGTAAAGGCAAAGTTGGTTTTATTGTGACCTCATAGCCAGTACAGAGTATTAGAGTTTAGGACTCCTTATCTGATAGTTTAAATTTGGAGAACTGTTGAAATGTTTTGTGTGGTTTGATATGATTATTCTTTGGAAGTTTAACAGCTGGTAACAGTTGTGTACTTTTTTCAAAATTACAAAAAATAAATTTGTTCAAATAGTAAGATCTTGCAAATCTATAGTCAGTCCTAAACTTATTAGTAAGTTCATTCCAGCGGTAATTCAAATTACTTTTTCTTTGTGGTGAAATAGATTTATGGGCTTTTTTTATGAAGGCTATATTTCTCCCTGCCTTTTCAAAAGGCACTGATTCTATAAACATGAATATAATATCTAAAATAGTCAAGTATGTTTAGTCATTACCATTCACATGTGTGGATTGCTTACAATAATTCCCTCAATAATTGTGTCCCAATAATCAGTTATTTAATGGCTTCAGGCCGGGGGGGTGGTGGGGTGAGTCGTGGAAACTGGGGATTTTTCCTGAAATTGCTTAGCTTGAGAAGCCAGGGTACAATTGATGCATTATTCATCTCTCAATTTTTTGGCTAATTGAATGTTGGAGGGAGCACGTAGGTGACAGGGCACTGCATGCCTTCTTAAG